GATGAATGAATAGCCGTTCCGAGCATCAACTGTTAACAAAAGTGAATAACCATCAAAAAAAAAAAAATCTGAAAATAACGGTCAACAGCAAACAACTCAATTTTTTTTCACTTCAGAATTAAGCTAAGAACAAAAAAAACAATAGAAATGATTTGAAAAAAAAACGCATTCAAAAGGCAGATATTGAAGTGATTGCGGCATTCACCTGAAGTGAGAATGAATCACAATGCAGAGAAAGGCTACAAATGAGGAAGAGCGAATTATCACCATGCATAGCTACCTGAGAATGAGTAAATAAAAGAATGAAATGGAATGTTTTTGCACTGGATTTATCCCCTCTGTGGTACCAGTGCATTTTGTGGGACAAATTATAATCGAATATCCACCCTGAATGTGATGGCACTCAAGATGCATCGTCTTGGGACTGTGTGCGACGTTTGTAAAGTGTTATGCCGGGCAATGGCACAGTTATATACTTGAATTTCTCGCCTGAAATGAATTTTGGCATAAATAAACATGGTTTTCCACTGCCTGCGTAATTTTTAGTAATTTAAAAGCATCGAAATTTGCTATATATTACTCAGAACAAGTGTCCTGTCGTCAGCTGCTAAAGAGGGATGGAAAAAGAAAGAAAACAGGACCTTTTACGACACGTTTAAATGGGCGAACATCTCCATCCACATCACTACATTCACATTCTGTGGATCGGAACACATACCATTTGGCCGGATTATCAGCCAGCTCCCAGCTAATCTCGCGCACATCTTTCCAGTCATGTATCTCTTGTGTACCTGAATAGAAATATGCCAAAAGGATTTCTAGAAATAATGGTAGAGGAAAGTGTTTGGAATTAGAAGTTCATTGGATCAACGAAAATTTCAGGGATTTCAACAAAGATTCTCTTAATTCTATAAAATTATTTCTATACTGCTATTATTTAGACCCATCACAACGTATAAAGTACCATCACTTGGGCTACTTCAAATTGCCTCCACATACGCTTGTGGCTATGCTATTCAGGTTCCACTAACCCTACTTTTCTGCTCCCTTAATTCCATTTTTTTTTTTACTTTCAGGCGAATGGCCTATTTTCAAGATCTGAGAAAAAAAAAACTTACCGTTATTACTGATAAATGGTAATACGAAATGCTAGGCGCGAGTCTTTTGTCTTTTTTTTGAAGTCCTTCTTTCCTACTAGCAATTTCCTTCTTTAGTACGGTCTCTTCCTTACAAGTTACAAAATTAATAAAAACAGTACTACGTACGGCGCCAAAAATCTATCTTTTTATTACGATATTAAAAATGGGCTCATTTCTTCATCAAGACAATTTCAAAAATTCATATTTTGAAAAGATTTCTCGGATATTACGATTCTACGATTCTTGTTGCAGGGTTTCCTCTGCAAAATGGAAGCTGTTCGATGTTCCTGAGGTCTGCGCATTCACATCTTGTGCTCATATTCCTAAACCGTTTCGTACCGACTGTGTGCTTTTTCCTAATTGCTTGTTGTTTGTGTTTATATACCAGTGACACAAATGAACTCTTTCTGTTATCCGTTATTATTAGTTTCAATAAATCACCTACTCTACTAGTAGCCTAACGCAAAGCTTGTTCGACTTA